AACGGCAAAGGGCATCCTGCTCTCCAGGATCCCTTGTTGTGGGTGTCCTGACTTACGCAAACATTAAGTCAGCCGCCTCCCACACACTCACAATCACACACACCGACACACAAACACCTACTCACTCACACACACTCACACACATTTGAGCATCCACAAGGACGCACGTCTCAAGTTTATCAAAGAAAAACGAATGGGAGGCGAAAAAAAAATATATATAAAGAAAAGGAAAGCGAGCGAACACAAAAAGCTACAAAGAGCACGGGAAATCCAAGGAAAAGCAGTGGTAACAGGTCAGGCCACACTTAATTCATTCGTGATTTATATGAGTCGCTTTCGGGGACTTAAAATGTGGTTACAGCTTTTGGCTTTGGACTCGGCTTGGATTTCTGGCTTTGGCTTTGGCTTTTGGATATCCGACTAAAACTGACGAAACTATGTGTGCGGTTTGCTTTGGGCCAAAAGATTTGCCTGCGCTCAATTAAAAATTCCCCTTCAGCTGCTCAAAATTCAATTGGAATTCCCCTTCGGCCTTTGGTCCCAAAAATGATTCCCTGAACTTCTCGACAAAGTCGTAAGCCAGCAAAACCGCTGATAAAATGCATATATATTTCTCTGGGCCAGAGACTTTTGGCTAAGCCTGTGAAAACAAGTTTTTTGGCTAGCTGCCGCCGTTCGGCATTTTGTCACTTTGACAAAATTGTTTGGTAGTAGTTTTCTCGCCGGATTTGGATTCGGATTCGGATTGGGCTTCGTATTTGGGCCCCGCTTTCCTCTCGGCTCGAGCCAAAACTTGTCTGTCGTTCAAGTGACATTCAATTATTATTTCAGCCAGGCAACCAGTCCAAAAACTTTCCAACGAAATTCAACTAAACGAAACGAAACGAAACGAGAAGCTGCGACAAACGACAATATTGTTAGAATGTATTACAGTCAGACAAATGTCCGACAAATACACAGATATATATAATGGTTCCAAGGGGAGGGGATAATACGTATTTGCGCATTAAATTCAAAACTTTCCAGATAGTTTTGTGCCAAATGAAATCAAAACAAAATCCACAGAAAAAATAAAAGAGAACAACAAATTGCCCATAAGTATGTAAGGCTGTGCGTGTATAATAAAATGAAGATGAAAACTTTTAAATTACATTTTCAATGAGAAACGCTGAGACACTGAGACTCAGTCTCCATTTTACGGCTTAGACAGGCATTTTAACTGATTAAAACAAAATTGAGCGAGTTTTTGGGAAAGTTTTGTACAAGAAAGATATTTTCTACCTGCACTTCTTGCCAAAAGAATTTTCTTATAGTTTCAGGGCACTTTGTTGCAAGTAATGTTGATAACGGCAGAGTCTTCAGTGTTTTGTTTAACTGAATAAATGTAGATAAAAGGCTGTTGAATGGGTTTCAACAAAGTATTTTTTTGGGAAATGTCAAAAACAACAGAAATAGTGGTTACTTTGATTTCAATTATTGTAAAGAAATTATAAAGAAACAAAAAAAAAATTTAATAGAAAGTATCAAAGTTTAGATGTCAAATTATATTTTAAAAACTTGAACCTTAAAGTCTAAAAGTCAGGAAAAATTATAGAACTCAATCTTTTTTAACTCCTTTATATTCCCAAAATATTATCTCTTTAGAATAACAAATATATTACCCTGGAAACCCCTTAATTCGTGTAATCGCATTCCACGAAAATCACGGAACCTGCTGAAAAGTTTGTGCTTGATTTCGCTGAACAATTTTCCCGCGGCGAAGCTTAGGTAAATTCGAAATGCAAATGCGAGTGGGAGTTTCTTATTTTTCGCCGCCGGATAACTCGTAATTTGAACTCGAGGCTGCCGACCAAAAAGCGTGCGGCTTAAAATTAATGACAGCGACGTAAATGTCAACGCGGGATAAAAAACAACCCCAACTTTTAGCCGGCCGCAACGTGTGGCAAAAACAATAATAAAGCCGACTTGTTGTTGCAGCAAAGTATGAGGGAAAAAGCGGGCTTAAAACGGAGCAATGCATGGCTTCCGGTTTTTGTTCGCGCGCTGGTATTCGCTGCCACGCCCAGTTCCTGTTGCCGCCCCCCTTTTCCCCTCACCCCCTTTTAAACGAACTCCTTGCCAACGGCATTGCGTGCTCGAGTGTCACATATGCACATTTTATTTATAAACTTGCAGCAAAGTGAAAAAAAGCGAGCGACTCCGCGGAATGCAACGCCACCTCAACGGGCAGCTCCTTTTTTTCCGCTTCTTTTTTTCCTTTATTTTTTGCTCCTTGCATAGCGATAAAGTCCGTGAAATGCTTATCATGCCCAAACAGGATGTGCACAGTGTCAAGCAGCCGGAGCAAAGCGTTTTTATATCCCGCGATTGTTTAATGCATAATTGAAAAGCACGCAAAGTGAAACAATAGACCAAGTGGAACGGCTCAGCTGCTCGACTCCGTCTGAGTTTCGAGCGAAGGACATTTAACCCATTTCCGCCTGCTGGGCGGAGAAACGCACACACACACAAGTGCATCGCCCTTAAACTATTTGCTGGAAACTGAAGTCCTATAAATTCCTGGAAACGGAGTAAGCATTTCAGTTGGCAACCAGAACTTGTGTTTGCACAAAACGCTTTTGATAAGGTAAACGGAGATTTAGTAGGGCTTTAAATTGGTCCACATATTTGGGTTTAATTTTCCGAAATATTTTATTCAACAGTTGTGCCTTTGTTTTATCCGAAAGACCAGTCAACAATTTCATAACTCTACCCTTTTACTACGAGCTTTGTTTTGAGTTTGTTATGTAACTCAGCACAAAAATAAGGATTAGAATTAATTGCGTTGAATAAGCAAAATAACTATTCGCACTCAGATTTTATATAAAGGTAGAAAATCAAAAATATGTAAGCATGTTACACATTAATTGTGTTAACTCTTGCGTAATTACTTAGTTTATAATATTCAAATTATTAATTTGATTGCTTTGATAACTTTTTCTGTAATTAAGCTTGACACATTTGAAAACCTCTTAGCCGTAATTCAATTAGTTGCCTTGGCAGATTCCTAACGGCTTCTCATTGGCCATGTTAAACAGAAATTAATGGCAATCAACATTTCTGCCCATTTGCACTTGTTTGCTCTTGATAATGGAAATTATTTAATATTTACGGGCTCAATTGGGCACGAAACAATCGCGTTAATGAACTGTGTAATTTCATTTAGACTGCGGAAAGAAGTCGTCGCATCAAGTGTTGAAAAGGACGAGCAGGAGGAGTGAAGAGAGGCAATTGCGGCGGTAATTGAATGGCGCTTAGCAAAACCAAATCGCAGCTTTGTGCGGCACTTTAGAGGCACTTGCAAAGTGCGGAGAACAAGTGGCTGTCAGCCGTCATCCGGCATAAACTGCACAAACAAAGCGCGTTTAAGAAAATGTAAAAATACTGCCAAAGTATGCAAAGCTGCTCGTAAAAACACTCAAAACTACGTGCATGCAGTTCGTCCTTCGTCCTTGGGCGGGATTTCAGTGTGGAACGAGGAACTCAGAACTGAGAACTCAGAACTGAGAAGTCGGTAGTTGCTTAGCTGCATCCTTCCATGACTCGTTTCCTTCCTGAGAATCCATCAGCGCTAATTTTGCATATTTCAGTTAGCATTTTTTTGTTCAACTTCTGACTGCCAGCCTGCCTTCTCCTCTCCACTCCCATTGCTGTGCACTTTGGCCGCCTTTGTTTGGCTAAGCCGGCTTGTGACTTGTGTTTTTGGCCAGGCTCAAAGGCCCGGGGAAATTTAAGTTATGCAGCGTCTGGAGAAAGGTCGAAGGGATCCTGCTGCTGATGATGAATTATGTGCGCCACGTACGTTATTAATAATTCCAGTGCTGTCAACAAATACATTGTCTTGTGCCGCAATGTCTGCTTCCCACGCCGGTCCACATTGCGTATGCGTGATATGTTTGTATAGGAAGCCCGGAGGCCCTGAAACTAGGGGGCATCATCCAAATTTATTGGCCATCTTGCTGTGCAGCAGCAACCGAACTCGAAGCGAGCGGCCTACGCAATCTGTTTACTCCACTCCGAAGTAGAGGGACGCCCCATCACGCATACGCCGTGTATTACAGCACAGCCAACAACCCATTCGCTCATCACGCATACGCCGCGTATTACATCATGGCCACCATATTTGTTTGCACATTGTTCAACAGAACACAACATACAATCGGTAGCAGTGACTGAAGTGGTGGAATGGCAGGGTTAATGGCTGGAAAAATTCAACTCAATCAATTACCAGGACAACACACTCGGCCAGTTGAACACGTGTAATTGATACGAGTCCTTAAAGGTGTTTTGTGTTATTTACGTAGGCACTCCTTTGCCCAGCATCGCGTGCAAACACTTTCCGGCTTGGAGTGTCCGACAGTGTTAACACAGCCACTTCATTTCGGCAATTAAACGGGTGCATTGTGTTGCCTACCTTGGCAAAAGAGTGGAGTGGGAAATTAAGAACAGCCACTTCAGGGAAATAAATCAACTGGCAAATCAATCTATTCAGGGGGCCACACCAGGAATGCTTAAGAGAAATTAGCTAATTATTCGGCGGTCAGCAGTCGGCAGTTTGATGATTAAATATTTCATACGCTCCAACTGACACCGAGTTTCTCCAGGCAGAAATCACAAATGTCTGACCATTTCCCCTGGCATTCCGGCAGTCTTTGGCCCAAAACCAAACACTGCAGCATTAATTAAATATTTAAGCACCGTACACAAACAAACAGACAACACACACAAACACACACACATATACACATATACATACAAAGGAACACTTATGCGAGGCCAAACAGAGCGCAACAAATAAAGACGGTCAATTCTGTTACGGCACGCTGACTCGAGGAGTCGCAAGGATATATGCACATACACAATTCGTCCTTGTCCGCACACACACATATACATACATATACTCTCCTTTATTTACCGCTTTAACGTGTAAGCTCAAGACAATGCAATAAAGTTGAAATTAGTTCGGGCCATAATTTCAGGTGAACATCCGGAGGCAATGCAAACTGGCTCATCCGGTTGTCAGTACAATTGGCTGACAATCGTCCTGCTGCTGGGAATCGTCCTTTGCTACGGTCAACGCTGCGGCTCCGCAATGCCAGCGTCATTAACGTCGCCATTACCACTGCAACTACAATTCCCAGCGGCTGCAGCAGCGGAAGGAGAAAGTGCATCCAGTGAAAGTGTGGCAACCGCCGCAATGTCAGCAACAACAGCCACAACTACAACAGCAGCAACAGCAATAGTAGCAGCAGCAACAACAACAACAACAACAACAACGAGGAAGCGTTGTCCTGCGGTCAAAAACTGTCGCCAGGCTGCCGGTCATGAGCTGGCCAAAAGGACCTGTCACAGATGATCAAATGGAGGCCACAACAGCCCCAACTAAATAGAGTAATTTAAAGAGCCACATGAAATGTGTGCGAGTGTGCGAGTGTTTGAATAAGTATTTCTGAATGTGTGATTGAGCCTTTGAGTGTTTGCTATTCAACCGATTAGTATGTCAGTTTTAAACTTGTATTCAAAGCAAACACATTGCTGAACAACGGCGCAGTGCGTGGTTAAAATACCCAAGGCTTTTCAGTTATTAGTTTCTGAGTACTTAAATTGATCAAACATTTTATTTTACGTGAACTTTTAAATGCATTTTGTTTTAAACATTATTTTCACAGTAATTATAAACCTTCCGCAAGCCACACAATATTTACAAACTTTTTCAAACATTTATTTTATTGCTTTAAAGCAGATAAAATATTAACTCTTTTTAATTGTTAATTTTTGTGATGTTAAAACTCTTATTTTCTAATTATCACATGATTGATAAATTGCCATCCATACTTTTCGTATTTTATTTGTAAATTTAATGTTATTCCTTCACAAAAAAACAAAAATCTCTTTATTAAACACTGTTAATTAAAATATTTAAAACCTATCAACCTCTTTTTGCTGCCGAAGCCGTTGTAACGCAATGTATTTGTATAAATAATACTATGTGTAAGCTAATTGATAACAATTTAATGTGTATATTTAAACAAAATCAAAATTTACTTTAGGATGTGTGTAAATACAAATTTAAACATAATTACGGCTTAACCGATGTGGGGCAATCGTAAAAAAATGTGTATCACAAAAATTATGAGCATGAGTAATCTCTATGGCCAGCGGCGCTGACTCTTTTTAATAAATTAATGAATAATCAAATAAAGTGGAGTGTACAGTGCCAGTGTCAGGCTCAATATTCAATAATTAGATAAAAAACGTAGAAAAATCCAAATAGCTACAAAATGAGAGCAGCAGTGAGTCATAAAACATTTAAATTGATTGCCATATCATGCAAATATTTGCACTGCGCCATTTACCACCAACCAAATGTAAATTCGATTTTCTCTTCCACTCGCCCCATAAAATAAAATTTATTTAATTTTTAATTGCATTGATATTAATGTCAGAGTTTTATAATCGACGGTAAGTCAACCTGCCACATTTTAAATTGATTAAAAACCCCCTCAATATTTATCTAAAAGTATCTTTAAGTTGTTAAAGTATCTGCATCACATGTAAACGTCATTCTCAGTTAAAGTTTACCTAAGCCTAATAATGGTTTTCCATTAGTTTTGCAACTTTAATTAAATTCTGTGTTGTCCTGTCAAATTACCACCAACTGGGAAATAACTGTGGAGTAATTTTGTATGAGTATTTTTTTAAACTTTAATTGCTATAGAGGGCAAAACTGTGCAGCATATAGAAATATAATTAAAAATAATAACAAAGAATTTTCATTCCACACAACAAATTGATTTAATTTAAAATTAAAATGTGAAAAAATCAAATATCAGATTGTATTTCATTACCGATGAAAGATACAAAGTGAGACTACTCTGTTGATACACAGCAAATAATATAATTCATAATTGTTATAATTATAAAACAACAAGTTCATTGGCATGGGTCTCGAACAATTTATACAAGCCTGCAAATTAACCATCATTTGCTATTCAAATCAAGCAATAACCAATTCAAACTCATCGAGAGCGCTTGTCCAATTAAAATGTGATGTTATTTCCCTCATCTTGTGTTTGGATACAATTATAATGAAACATAATTTGGAATTATGCCTTGCCATTTGGCTGGCTGCGGTTACAGAAAGGCAAAACTAATTTTTTTGTTTTCCGTTAAGCTGATTTTATGAGCCGATTATCTGGAAATTTGTATCGTAATAGTCAATGTAACTTTCGATGGTGTAATTTTAGAATAGTGACTTAATTGCCAAGCGATTTATAAACTGATTAACTTTACTGATTTAAATCCATATTTTTAAATCAGAAATATTTTGTTCACAATTATAGCTTAATTACATGCTGCAATTTATTTTCTTAAACCACTTTCAATCTGAGAAACTATTTCCTTTCCCTTCCTTGTGTTTCTGAGTGCAACTAATCCCTTAATTGTTAATGCAACCAATCAAAAATATAAGCAGTCGCTCACAAAACATATAAACACATATATACTGAGTCTAAGTGTGAATAAGAACATATGCCAGCCAATTTGAATTCTAACACAACGGAATGCTAATGCCATAAGCCCCCAAGCATTTGCCATAAACCCTTAAAGCGCAGTATATAAATCTACATATATAGTATATACATATATTCGTAGGCCGTCATCTAAGTAATTCCTGTATATTAAAGTTAATTAGTGAAGCTCTAGAATTATGCATTAGACAAGTAAATTTACAAAACTATGTGTGGATAACAACATAGTTATTTAGCTGTAATAAAGCAATCGAACTGTGTAAAACGAACTACTTTTAACTGTTGAAATTAAACTAAATGGCAAACTAGTGAAAGCATAACATAAATATGACATCATAAAGAACACATAGCAAAACCTAACAATAATAAACAAATAGGAAGGATAACAAAGGGCAAACAACAGGACCGGAAACAAATTGAAAACGGAGTTGTTGTTTGTCTTTTGCGCAATGATTGTCGCCGCAGTTATTGTAAAACAACAAACGAGAGAAGAAACAGCGATACGATTAAAATTTTTTATTTAAAAATTAACCCATCCGTGGCGTTTTCATTCGGGGGGCTTAGCAGCGTTAAAGGCACTGCCGCTCGCTCGATTATTTATGCAAACTGCAAGGGAACCCAAACAGCTGGCTGCCACCTCCTCCAGCGGCAGTCGAAGAAATGAAAAATAAGCTGCAACGTATGCGTGTGTCACTTGTAATCGCTGGATTATAGACAGCTCGGCCAGGATGGAGGACCACACAGGGATGGAAGGACGATGGCAGGACAAGGGCAGGATGGCAGGCGTTGAAAACTGGGTCAGCAAATAAATCGAAAAGGCTTAAAACAAGGAAAAGGAGAGGCCATAGGAAAGCCATGGACAGCCGAAGCTTATGCGCACCGAACAGATTGCTCCTGGGCAAAAGGCAGGATAATTCGAAAGGGGTTCGGCCAGGACATTCATGTCGTAAGTATGCGTAAGGATGTGCGGATGTGAGGAGGTGTGCTGGTAAGGAGGTGCGGTTGTGCGGATGTGCGGATGTGCGGATGTACGGATGTGAGCAACTCAAAACAATTTACATTTGTTGTCCTGCTGATGTGTTGCAATAACACAGGACATTCTTCCTTTTCTAATTACTTTCAGCTCAATTCACGTAGGAGAAAACAAATACAGCTCACGCCCGAGCTGCTCTAAAAGCATTTAAAAACTATGTGGTTGCTTGGCAGCAAAGTTTTCTATATCTAAATATATTCATCAAGGGATATTTGATATGCTGATGTGGGAGTTTAAAAAACGTATGAGTGTATTGAATTATTGCAGGCCATTAATAATTGTCTTCGAATATTTCATGTAGCTAAAATTTTAAACTTCCTAATTTGTAATGAACTGTTAAAGAAAATCTCTACGTTTTATTTTATATTTTTTTCATATATTGTATTTACAGCTAGGCAGCTTATTGTTTAATACTTCTCAATTATAGTTTACACAATTTCGAAACACCGATGAGCCCGTAAACCCTGACAAACAATCCAGCGAAACCGCAACCGAGAGCAAAGTGAAGGTGCAGCGTGTCCCAGCTCATTAATTAACTATTTCCCGATGGGCAGCTGTGAAATGCAGAAGTGCAGCTGTAATTCTATTAAACTGCGCCGCAAATCCCAGCTTATCCGCATGCCTGTCTGCGTTTCCATTCGAAATAATAACAATAATGCGAGTCTGTGGCCGCCTTTGACCGCAGGCAACCCAAATACCCGTAGTCTGAATAAACCGACGTATTCTGAGTGCCACAATTCGCCATCCGGCCGACTGCAATGAGGCCCCAGAAAAGTTGAGGGCCGAATTTGAGGCCATTGTGCGACTGCGTTGGCATAAAAATATTTATAACGCTCACTTGAGTCCAAATTGATGCGCGCTGCTTATGCAAATTTCTGGTTGCCTAAGCAACCGCAGCGCCAAGCTGTTGTTGGCCAAATCCGGAGAATAGGCCCGGGATTTGGGGTCCCAAAACCCGGACATGGCCATGTAATTTGGCCTGATAGATTCTGCTTAATGGCGGGCATTAGACACATTTGTTGCCCGTGCCACCGAGCCACCGAGCCGCAGGAACAGAGCAGCACAACAGAGTAGCCATGGTTTTGGGCCCCAATATTGATTCGAGCACAGCGTGCGGCCTGCAAAATCAGTTTTAAACAGGCTACCCGGCGCCACAGACCTCACATTTTCGCTTTCACATTCTCATTTGACAAAAACATTCTGTACACACGCGTTTGACCGCATTCCTTGCCGGCATTCACACGCTAATTTGACTGAAAATTTAGATGCCATCAACATACTTTACGTGTAATCCGCATGAATTCCTCAATTGACAATTGCAACGCGAATGCCCGCGCAAAAGGGTATTTTGGTTTTAAACACTGAGGAATATCCACGAACTGTTTCCCGGAAACTCATCTTAACTCATCTTATACTTGTTATTTTTGAGAGCGCTTTTGAGAAGCCAGCTCAGAAAAAGTTGAGTGGAATTTTTAGGGAAATGGCACTTCGTACAGATTTGTTATAGATGAAAAGGATTTTGTTTGCCTATTTAGGTATATATATTTTTAATTTGCAGCTTACATTTTTATAGTATCCTTTCTACAATCCTTTAAGTCATTTTCAAGTCTGTGAAGTGTGGAATAATAGCTTAGTCCCCTGAGTAAAGTATTGGCTTGTCTGCGTAAAGGTTTAAAACAACAAAAAAAACTTTTAAATCGGCTTACATTTTAAATTCAAATTGTGTCACTCGTGCCTACACATAAAATTCAAAGTTCAAATGTTTTATTGAGGCTGTGCATCTATTTTATTACCTTAGGGTTGAGACTAGTAAAATTTTTTTTAGTTTATAAATTTATACAAACATTTTTAAACTAAGAAATGTATGCCAGTTGTTTTAAAAGGATTACTCAAAGCAATTGCAGCAGATATTAGCATTAGTTAACAGTTAAAAACATGCAAAAAATCCTTATCTTCCTCCTGATTTTAGAGGATTCTGGGGCACACACCACGACCAGCACAATATTATCTTTCGAGGGGCGTAGAGTGTCAACGGGGGCGTGGTCGCGGTCAATGTGGTCAGGCATAAACTGGCCGCTACAGCAACCGCATGAAATGCCAGTTGAATTATAGACCATTTGAATGAAATTATTTTAATTGCGTAAATCACTTTGCAGCCAAACCAAAAATTCAACAATGCTGTGGTGCAATGAAGGGCGGTGCAGAGTGGTGCAGCGGGGGGCGTGGCAGGGAAAAAGCAAAGTGTGAGCATGCAACTGGCACACTTATTGGCCAATCTCATTTAATGTTCGCCACTCTTGCGGACTTTGTGGCCCAACAAAGCAGAAATTTTGGGAGGAGTAGTTGGGAATTTCAAAAGAGGGATGCGGCGGCACAAATGGTATCCAAAAGGGAGCCCTCGAAATATTTAACCGAAATATTTCTGTTTGCATATTTGCACTCCATTCCCCGATAATTGTTTTCGCTACCTCGACAATGGAAATAAATTCCGACCAACATTTGTGCACAGCTTCATTCGGCGGGGAAAAGCGGTCGAGGGTGCCACTTGCAATTGCAACTATAATTTGTACAAATTATCGACAATTTTATGAAAGCATTTTCGAACGCACCGCATGGAATTAGATGCTTCTAATGGAGGACACGGCGTATGCGTGATATCAATAAAAACATATTTTACATGCAGCGCGACACTTAAAGCGGCGATAAATGCAATGTTTTCATAATTTATGAATCGACATGGACCGATGGGGCAAATATTTGCAAACACTCTCCGTGCATTACGTTAATAAAACAGCACAAACATCGCGGGTGAAAAGGTCGCCCTTGCTCAAAACTCCTGCCAGTATTTCTGCCGTGGTAATCCTTTCTGGTCAGTGGAGCATGTCCTGCGAAAATGGCTGGATAAAACAACCCAACTTGAGCTCTAGCCCACTCCCAATAAACGCTTCAATGGTGTTGGCCTAGTGAGTAGATTAACAGCAAAGGTCAAAAGAAAGGGGAAGGGTATTTTTTTTAATGTAAGTTGAACTAAAACTAGCATATAACCTTTATAAACAATAAGTTTAATATATTTAATTACCTTTACATAACTTTTTTTAGAAAAAAAACTGCTTAATATATTTAATTATTTCTCAGGTAACTTTTCCCAGGGCCTAATATATTTAATTTTCTTTTAGATAACTAAACTAATATGTTTAAAACACTGTACACTCTGTTTTTTACCATTACTTACTTACCATTTTAGCCTCGTCTGTATGCAGCCTATAAAAACGAGTAAGTATTTGGCTCGCTAGAGATTCTCGCTTGACTCTCGAGTGGTTATTGTTGTCAGACGAGCGATATAGTCATGATACGAGATATGCGTGGCGGGGCATGATAAATGATGGGGATTTGCACGGCTCTCGCCCGCTCCTCCTCCAAATAAGACTTAGTGCCGGAGCTTGTTTGGTCTACTGGTAGAACTATGAACTATGAACTTATGGCATATTTGCTCGCCTTCAGCAGCAATCAACTGCACTTAGCGTTAAGTGGGCTTACTCCAACCTCGTTGCCTCCGGTCGAATTCAATGCCCGTGCGAGAGCCACTTGTCGACGTCTTCCATTGAAGGCGACGCCGTTGACACGACACGAGCCTCGAATCGCACCACTTGCAGGATCAGCGATAGCACCGCCGTGTTGACTCGAGCGGACGCGGACTTCCTGCCCGCCATCCTGGAATTCCGACATCCAGCATCTGCTGCCGGATGCACTCACACGAGGCTCGGAAACGGCCTACTGGCTGGGGAGTGTATTGAAAACCCGGGTAGTTTTACTCAGAAAAGAGAGGTACTTGTGCATAAAGAAATAAATTATATTTTTATGACGACTGTTCAGATATAAAATACGATGCTGTTAAGAGATGATAAAAAGTACAGATAGCTGTGCCATATTTATTTTTACCATCAACAAAGATATATCATAGATATATATATCTTAATTTATGTATCATAAGATATAATTGATATAATTATTATATTATATTTATGCATTAATATTAAAAAACAAGACAGACTACTCATAATTTTCCCAAAGCCACCTACACAAGCAGATGAAGTACCAATAAGTTTCCATATAATATCGCCAGGTGGCGCTTCCAGTGCAACCACATGTTGGCTTGTCACTTGCAACATGTTTGAACAACTCTGATAACGTATACGTAGTATAAACATTATTTCTAACATTATCTTTTACTTTAAGTTTGTTTAGAAAAGCCTTTTCACTCTTACTTACTCGAACTTTAATTAAACTTGGTATAAACCAAATATAAGTAGCTAAGAAGAATTTCATTATTTTGCCTTTTGCCTATTATTTATTTGAGTTGCATTCCATGTTCGTTTGTAATAATGCTCAAAACGAAACCCTGCTGTGAACTCCTTAAACATTACTATCCTTTCTCAATAAGCTGATTAATTACGTTTCACCTCAATAATTCTCATCATTCCACAATAATTTCATTGAA